GCAAACCAGGACTATACCAACATTTTGTTGCAGAGCTCCACCTTAATGAAATATTAGCTGAGCAGATGAGTAAACCATTCCTTTGGATGAGAGATGCCATGGATTACTAAAATTATTCCAGAGTTTTATGGCAAACAATACTTCCCATGCCTTATTGCAACTGATAGGGAGTAGTGAAAAGCAAATAGTAAAATAAAAAAGTTCTTAGTAACAGGAAAGTGGTATATGTGACCATAAGTGCAAAAAGTACTATATGCCGATGAAATCATTTACATATAAAATGGATCATTCTGGATTAACCCTATTGCAGAGGCAGGACTTGATTAGATTAAGTTTTCAGTAATTCTTGTTTGTAATCAACAGTTGTGTTTTCCAGTTCCTTATCCCACACCACTACACTGAGTGCTTGTTGATCATTACTGTCATCTCCCAATGCTTGCCAGAGCTTAATTACATTCTGTGAAATTAGTCCAGAGAACCTTAACTTAATACAAGGGCTTTGTTCCTCTGAATATTTGTCAAGTACATTTCCCCCAACTAGGATAAAATTTTCCTAACAGGCACAGAACCTCTGTTGAGAAATTGTCCACAGATATTTGGCCTACTGAAAGAGGAAGCCAAATCTTTTAGGACTGCAACCTATATTTTTCCTACATGCATCAAAACCAAGGTTATGTTTCATTATAAATTTAAAAAATCTGCACTTATCTATTCATTGACTGTGCAACACATAATTACTACCCTACTTGCTGCCAATACGAGAGTTATTAAAACTTTTTTTTTGTTCATAGAACTGACAAGTACAGAAAAGTTCTTTGCTTAAAAATTAAAATAATTAATACATCTATACACTGCATTAAAATAACTTTTACAAAGTATATTTGATTATTTTAACACAACCACATAGCAGCTGGCGTATTATCAAGCTATCTTAAACATAAATACCTTGTATTCTTTTTCACTGACAAAGAGGTTCAGTTCTGTTCTTCCGTATTTATATATAGAACTGCGTTCATATAAGGCATAGAGAAGCTTCCAAATCAGGTTCCTTTCCTTTCTTTGTGGCACAATTCCAATCACTTTTAGAGGAACATCTGTACAGAAAATCAACCAAAATGAATGAAAAAAATGTTTATGTTCACCACTACTAAATAAAATAACCACCAAATAAATAAAGACAATAGCAGAATCATTACAAAAATAACTCCCACTTCATTAATTCCTTGAATATTGCTACCCTTCATATGAAACCTCTTAAATCCTCTAGTGAGGCTTTGACATGCAAATATTAGATTGGCTACCTACAAAATACAGGGCTAGCTCCACGGTGGCACCACAGTCATTTTTATATTTATATACAACCTTTGGATCATAATAGTTCCCAAAGCAGTTACGGAACATTCCCTTGGGAAGCAGTGGCTTTAGGCAAGCCATGAAAACTTTCCTCTTCCTAAAAAGCTTTGGAAAAACGTGTTTAACAGGTGCCATTTTACAATGTATTTAACTGCTGTTGTTTCATCTGAAGATATCTGCCTCAAGCACACCAAATGGAAAAAGCCAAATAGAAACAATTAAATATTGATCTGCTAATTATCTACAGTTGATATGTACCAATTTTAAGTACCTGCTGTCCAAGGAACTGTTAAGATGCCCAAGTTCTCAAAAAGTCTTTCAGAATACATAAAAGGTGGCTTCAAGGATCCAATACCCATAGGGTCCAATCTGAAAAAGTCACAATGCACCACTTCTAGCTGGCCATCTGCTTTTTCCTTCAGAGACTAAACAGAAACAAATCATTAGAAGGTGAAATTAACATCTGAATTTGTTTTAACTGAGTCAGTCTATTAACCCATCTAGCCAAATACTGTATTGTCTACTCAGAGAGCAGCCTCTCTCCAACGTCTCATGCAGTGATTTTTCCAGAGCTGCTGCTCAAGACCTTTTAACAGGAGATGCTGGGATTTATCCTGTGCCTTTATCTTGTTTTTAAATAAAATAAAATAAAATTTTGTTTTTTAAAAAAATTACCATAAATTGAGTGATAGAGACATATTTGTAACCAAAAGAAAAGAAAAAAGAAAAAGAACAATCAACAACTAACCTGTCAGGAAAACAATATACTTTGAGATAAATTAAATCTTTCATTTTTGTCCTTTTACAGATTTTTGTGAGAGGTCTGAGTTTTAAAGCTAAAACATCAATCATCTCCTTATCTTTTTGTTTAGCCACAAATTTCAGTCCCCCATGTACAAACCTACCTCTAAGTCAGGAACAAATGACTTATTACTCTCCAGAGCTATCACATGGGCACCAGCATTGAGTAATGTTCGGGTTAAGACTCCAGGACCTAAAAAAAAATCCAGGGTTAAACACCAGCATTAAACACGGTTTTAGTTTAAAAGAATGACCAAGAAGAACCCAAAGGCCCTGTGAGTTAGGTAGAGAAAAATATAAATATGAATGTAAACATGCAAAACTTCTCAAGGGACTGCACTGGATTCTATCCCTTGCAACATATTATATACAAGCATAAAGAAGAAATAAAAATTGCAGGAAATGTGAATGAAAAAAAAAAAACTATTGAAGGGGCAACTTTTCAATAGTATAACCTTCAGCTGAAGACAACTGAAGGAAAACAATGGCCACCTTGATATACTTTGGAGTTTCTGCCAGCATATTTCTCTTGATAGCCAGCAATCACCAACAACAAATTTTATAAAAGAAACTGTGGGACATTTATATTAAAAATGAAATATCTCAGGTGATATCAGACCAAGGCCCACTTAGACTAGTATACTGTTCTCACAGTGGCCAACCAGAAGCCACAAAGGAGGACATGAGCGCAACAGTACTCTCCCTTGTACTCTCCAGATGCTGGCATTCAGTGGCATACTGCCTCAAATTCTGAAGGTAGTGAACAGCCATCATCACTAGTAGCTACCGATAAGATTCATTTTGCATGAAACTGTCTAACCCCCTTATAAGGTTGTTAGTGGCCATTACTACATCTTGGGCTAGCAGATTCCATAGTTAAACTATGCACAGTGTTAAGAAGTAGATGTCTGCTTGGAATCTTACAACATTCAGCTACATTACTAGACCCCAGCTTCTAGTATTATGAGTGGGGAAAATGTCTCTGTACTCACTTTCTCCACATCATGCATAATTTTATTTGCCTTTACCATGTCTCACCATACTTGCCTTTTTTAAAAAACCAAGAAGTCCCATATGTTGCAATATGCATTCATTCGATCATGATTTTGAAAGCTCTCTTTCATACATCTTAATTATTTCAATTAGAGGAGCCTAATTAATTGGCACCTGAAACTTCAAGAAATGCCTTGCACTGCATTCAACAGAGAGTTTTGAAGTTCACCTTGTAAGCTTAACGCTGTATGTAGGTTCTGTGGAAGATTTTGTTCATTAGTTTTACTGTTCCATTTGCCAGGAGAGCAAACGGGGGTGAGTTTCACAAGAGAAAAAGGGGAAGGAACAATGGGGCCTTAGATGCTAATGGGAGCTTCCTTAGCCTAACAGTCAAGGTACGGAATCACAAGACCGAAAAACATTTGGTTAAAATCTAGGCTCTGAAAGTAATTGAGATACTGTTTGCAAACACTCTGGAAAACTGCCTATATATTGGGCATGGCCGTCACACACAGGCAGAATGTATGCAGAAGATGCCATGTTCATTTCCAGGCATCTCCAAGTAGAACTGGGAGAGACCCTGGTCTGAAACTGCAGGCAACTACTGCCAGCTAGTGTTGTTGATGATACAGAACTAGATCAACTAAAGGTGTGACTCGGTATAATACTTTTCTCCTAGGTTCCTACTTTGAAAACACCCTGTTTCTTTATTCTAAAAGAGTTATTAGCAGGTGGTGCAATCGGTCAGTGCATTTGGCTGTTAACCAGAAGGTTGGTGTTTCGAGCCCAACCAGGGATGGTGGCAGGCAGGATTCCTGCATTACAAGACTAGACTAGGTGGCCCTTGGGGTCCCTTCCAACTCTTAGCAATAAGATCCCGCGGCACTGCTGGTGCAGCGAGTGATGCAGAAGTCGAAGTAACAGGTAAAGAGGACCAAGCGTCTCTAACCCTCACCTGGCTCGCATTCCAGCACCACCGTCTCCGGCCCCTCGGAGCCCCTCCCGCTTTGCAGACTGGAGGCCACGGCGCGCGCGAGGTCGGGGCAGGCGATGAACCTTCGCAGGGGCGGCGGAGCCCGCGCCTTCTCCGCCACCAAGCGGGTCGTTTCGGCCTCCTCGGGGATCCGCAGAGGAGGGAAGCGGGGCTTTGCCGGGCCGCGGCGCTGCTCGCTCTGACCCGCCGGGCCTCGCGAAGAGAGCCGCTTCCCAGGCGACAGGCTCAGAGCCGTCAGCAGCAACGGGCGCCCCGGCAGGCCCGACGGGGCCAAGGCCGCCACCGCCGAACGCAGCATCCCGCACGTGGGTGACCTTGCGGGGTACGAGGCCGACCAGCACGCGAGGCACCCGGACGACTTTAGCGGCGGGGCTCCGGGCTCCCAGTTCCGTTTCCGGCGCCGCTGTTGCTGGGGCGACGCTCTAGTCTGCCTCTTCTCCGTGGTCAGGCTCCCTTCTAGGCGTGGCGGAGCTCTGTGGTGCTCACCTTCTCGCCGTCGCCGCCGGGCTGAGTCTCCGGAGTCCGCAGTCGGGTCACAGGTAGCTTCGTTCGATGTCCATTCGGAGCCCAGCTGTGCCGGCGCGAGGGGCTGGCCGGAAGCCTCGCGAGGCGGCCGCGACCTCAGGTGAGGGGAGAAGGAAGCCGAAGCTGCCATAGCGGCCGCTGGCGGGGTCCACCTTCCTCCCGCCTCCCTTAGGGGAGCCTCCGTGTTTTGCTGCCTCCTGGAATGGAAACCCGGTTTTAAGGGCGAGAAGAGGGGCGAGCAAGTAATGGAGGGACGGTGTGCGTGGGGCACCTGGGATTTGGGGGGGGGTGCGAATTAGGCTGGAATGACTCGGAAGGGGGACGGCGGGAAAGACCCACCGCAGGTCTGCCCAGCGTGGGAAGAGTATCAGGCTCATTCTTGGGTCTAGGGGCGCCTGTCTTGCTCCCCACCCCATGAACGGCCCCAGCTAGCCAGTCGCTGTGCTTGTTTCTTCGTTACCACGTCACTCTCTTGTGGATTCAAGATCCTTGTTTTGAATTACGTGTGGGTTTTGCGTGCCAGCTGCCAAGTCTCTTCCGAAGAGCGCCGTGCACGCTGTGCTCTCCCTTGCTTCGCCACGCTTCGCTCTCATCCTTCCTCTAAGGGAGCTCAGGGTGGGCAAGCTTTGGAGTTGTTGCCGTTTTTTAAGCCAACCGAGATCACTATGTTTGTAATCTGGTTCTTGCAAGGTTGCCTGGTCGACTTCAGAGCGGAGCGAGAATACTGGTTGGTATACAGCTTTGGTCCATTTGGCCCAGTGACCTGTCTCTGGAAAGCGCAGAGATCTAGTCGAAATGAACGTATTTGTAAAATGTACACACAACCACAATCGTGTGTTTGTGTCTGAAGGCAATTTTGCATGCTTTTCCCTCAATTGGGATGTTGCTGTGTAAGTAATGTTTGGGGGGAAATGAACCGCATGAGGAATAATAAGAGGGTTGTAATAATTACTTTTCCCTTGTTTTAAAGATCTGTTCGTAACCATCTGCCTTCGGGTTGGGCTTTGGTTCTGTTGCTATTCCCCTATTTATCAGATGAATGTAAGGGGTTTAAATAAAACTAGATAGGTCAGTGAGGTGCCCTGGTGACTAAGTGTTTACAATACTCAAGTAGTACATTCCTAAACACAGTCTACATTCCTGACCATTGTGTCCCTTCATGGTTGCCTGTGAGCTGCCCAGATCACCATGTTTTATTACTCTAGCATCAGACTGACTAATGTTGCTGTAGGCTAATGGGCCAAAGGGTTTGGTTTTTTTTAGAAGAGGCTTTAAATTCAGATAAAAAGGGGGGGGGAATAGTTCCAAGGCTGGGAACGATCTGTCAGATAAAAATATGAGAAGATGCATAGATGGCACCTGGAACTAAGTATACCCTCTTATCTAATCAATTTTTGGTGTTCTCAGTTGAGGATTTTCTTAAGAGCTATGGAGCTTGATAGTTGGACTGATATTTCATATACTGTAAATGGAAGATGGCTGATCGTTTGTTTCCTTTTTATTTGCTTTTTTTCTCTTGAATGGAAAGCTTTGTTTTGATCGTTATTGCACAAAATGTACTCATTATATATCATTTTAAATTAGATCTCTTTGCAACAGGATATTGATAATGAAAGTTGTGCCAACCAGTTGCTCAACTGCATGAGTATAGTAGTCATACTTGATTTTGCGTTATGCAGAAGGTCTAGTCAGATTCGTATTTAATATCAATTGTCTGATTCATATTAGCAGCCTTTTAAATGCTGGCTAAATATTTGCTTTTCTGCCTGTCTCTTTCCTCCAAATAGTTGATTTATTCCTGTATTCATACAGTTGGCATAGTTTCCAAAAGAACTATCCCTTTTTTCCTTTGCCTGCTTGAAGTAGTAGTAGGCTGGGATCCAAAGAATGCTGGCAGTTGATTTTCCATGCCCAATTAAGTTTTCGGACTTGTGTTTCTTAAAGAAAAGTATACTCTGCCATCATTGTCACACAGCAACCCCCTTCGAAACTGGGGAAACTTTTAAAGCTGTTTATGATGTGGCATGTATATTCTGATTCAAATTCAAAGTTCTCTAGTAAAAAAAGCAAAAAAGCTATATTATCTATTTTCCTTTCTTAAACTGAGATAGACAACTAATGCATATATTCCAAGTAAGATCAGTCTAACTGTACTAATAAATGTTTAATTTGTAACATGCCTTGAGGAAATTGGTTTTAGATTAACTCTGTCCTATCTAGCAAGACAGCCTATCCCCTTGACTTGAATAAATTTCAAGCCTTACCATTTCTATAAAGGCCTATGCTCTGCACATTCTGATCATGACTGACAAAAATGTATTAAAATAAAACCCAACAGGGCTGTTGCTGTTAGTCAATGGAAGTTTTTAGGCTTTCTGTCAGGAATTGTGATGATTGAGTTTGTTTCTGTACAGCACTTGTTATATATACAGTACTGTTTTTAGAAATGAATGCAAATTCTTTGTAAATGGACTGTTGTTCAGAGCCCATCTCTTCAATATCTAAAGGTCAGAAGATTCACCCAGATGTACCAAGAGGATGAATTATCTCCCTCCATGTTAAGGAATAAACACTAATTAGTATTGTATTCTGGAAGTTCTGCTTTTCATTTGGTTGGTTTTCAAGGCTGTCCCTTCTAGGTAGCACCCAAGTGTACTAGCATTTCTTATAAGATATATTTTAATTTACACTATTTCCTCCCTCTTTTTTCTCTCTTGGCAGAATGAACAGATACCTGACAGCTCTGTATTAACTCTTTGTTGCCTAAAAGCATCTCCTTTCCCTTGCAATATCTTTAAGAACCATTTTGAAAAATGGTAAGTACTGTTCTCTGGTTTAGAAAGAACAAGACTCAAGGCAGTGGTAAACATGCTTAGTATATTTTAAATATTAAAATCAGTTGAACATATTTTTCTTTCTTTTTTTAATATCATGAATGCACATATGAAATTAGAGAGATTAATAGTAATTTCTATGAAATTTATTCTGCTTTGTTGATTGGCAAAGGCACAGCACTTTAAACTGACTTTTGCCAACAGCTAAAACTGTAGGAAGTAATTCAGGGGGGAAATCATTTTGATACTTAAGATTTATCTTATGTACCGGTAAGTAAACATAAGAATAGATTAAGGATTATTCAATTAATCTATTCTTATGTTTATACGTATGCAAAATATTAGTAATTGTAAAGTATGGAAGCTATTAGAACTGTAAGTCCTGGAAACCCTTTAACTAGGGAGCTGCTAGTACTTAGGATCGAACATTCCTCCATGTCACCTCTTTCTTCAGGACTGGGGCTTGGCACTAGCCCTAAACATGCATTAGGGGACCACGTTCTTATTTTTATCATATATTTGCATGGTGCTGCTGCTGTTGACCCCTTAAGTTAGGTCATGGGCCACCTGTTGAATACCAGTGCTCTAAAGCATGGGGCTCCTGGGTTTCAAGCACTTCCACCAGTAGTTATGCCACTCAGTTGGTCATTCCTTTCCCTAATCCTCTGTACATTCTCCCTTCTTACCGATAGACTTTAGCCATGCAGTGAAGCACTCATGGTGTAGAACTCATCAGTTCCATTCCTTGTCTTGTTTCCAGCTTCTCCAAGGGCCTCTTAGATCTCTCTCTCTCTCTCTCTCTCTCTCTCTCTCTTTCTCTCTGCTTTAGCAGCTGTGCATGCTACACCCTGCCCTGCCTATTGAGGCTGCATTCCTGGAACTGACCTCAACTTGACTTCTCAAGTAAAAATCCCTAAGTAAAGCATATTGGTATGTCTTTCTTACTTGGGATGATCTACCCAGGAAAGTAGCATATGCCCTGATTTTGCAGGGAGGGCACTGTTCCACCAACATGACAGGACCAAAGATATAAAATGTTTGTGACTGAAAAACTGTGCTACAGTTATTCATTCAAAACATTGGCATGCGTTACACTGTGTATTCGTGGTGTTATGATACCTCATGGAGAGAATTTGTAACAGTGATAATCAAAATATCTGACATTGATTATGTCTAGGCCATGTGACTATAGTTGCAAACTTTCCACCTGCTGTTGTTTGTTTATATATCCTTTTATCCAAGGAGCCTAATTTACATGCTAGTCCCACCCTGCACCTTAGTTTATAACAGGGGTAGGCAACCTAAGGCATGTGGGCTGGATGCGGCCCAGTCGCCTTCTCAATCCAGCCCACGGACGGTCCGGGAATCAGCGTGTTTTTGCATGAGTAGAATGTGTCCTTTTATTTAAAATGCATTTCTGGGTTATTTGTGGGGCCTGTCTGGTGTTTTTACATGAGTAGAATGTGTGCTTTTATGTAAAATGAATCTCTGGGTTATTTGTGGGGCATAGGAATTCGTTCATCCCCCCCCCCCAAAAAAAAAAAATATAGTCCGGCCCACCACATGGTATGAGGGATGGTGGACCAGCCCACAGCTGAAAAAGGTTGCTGACCCCGGGTTTATAACACCCCTGTAAGATTGGTTGAGTTAGAGACTAACCCAAGGTCACGTACATTGAGCTTCATGGCTAAGTTGGAATTTGAACCTGGGTATCCCCAGCCCTAGCTTGGCATGCTTAACTACCATACCATGCTGGTGGTGAAAATTGTCATTTGTTGTCACAGGTAGAACATGGGATTTAATATTTGTGTGCATAGGAAGGCCTAAAGTCTGATCCTAAAGGCAGACCCTTAATTTTCTGAAAATCGGTATCAAGAAGTTCTGTCATAAAACGTTTAATCTACAAAATGGTTCATCCCATCCCTGTATAGTAGTAGTAGTAAATCTGTGCCTCTTGAAGTATGATGAAAATATAGGCTTGGATCCTAATTGTTCTTTCTGTGACTGGTAGGACTCCTCCCACTTAAAGGAGACTTTGCATGTAGTGGTCTCCCTGGCAGAAAAGAGGAGGCAATTTTTGGCTGTTTTTACTTCAAACTGGAAAATACTAGTAAATAAAAAAAGAGGAAGGAGAAATGAGCACAGCAAGTCCCCCATTCTGCTGGTGAGAGTGTTCTGCAAGCAGAACTTTGATCACATTAGTGGAAAGGAATCCAAGATCTAAGCCATGGTATTTTAGAACCTTTGAAGGATGAGAAACATCCCACCCTTCTAAGATTCAGGTCTGTTGACATACATCAGATTGCTCTGTAATAGTGTGTTCAATAAGTATTTGTATATGTGTTCAGAAAAACAGATAGGCATTCTTTAGAAAATGAAAATAAATACTTACCCAGAAGGCAGGTCAGTATTTGCTGTTGCAAGCAATACTTTGTTTACTGAAACCATATGTCATGGCTTTTAAGAATGGTTAAATTAAAATCTAAACAAAACAGTAGGGAATCATTAATGGTTTCAATTGTGCATCAGTAGAATTTTAAATTATTTTTTAAAATTGAAACTTAGAGATAATATATGATCCCCAGACAATAAAGGCAAAACTCTAGTTCCTGTAAGTGTAAAATTTTAATACTGAAAGAAAAGAAAATAGTATATTTGAAGAAGATTGATTTTGGTATGCAGGTTCCTGAACTATCAGAGCACTTCATCAAACAAAATGAAAAAATACATCATTTTCAGCTATATATGGAGCAAGTTTATATCCCAATGCAAATATCATTGGTCATATAATTTAATAATAGGCTTGCTACTTCTTATATCACACAACTGTACATTGTCCTTTACATTTAAAGTTGAAGGAGCAAAAAAGGCAGCAGCTGCTCTTCCACAGCTTTCTCCCAGCTGCTCTTCCACAGCTTTCTCCTTCATCCCTCACCTGCTTCGCAGCCATTCTTTGTTATGAAGATGCTTAGTTCAGCTGGCACTTTGCATATGCCCTAAAACACCTTTAGCTTCACAGGAGACTGTGAAATGAACAAGACCGAGAAAGCAAATCTGGTTGTACATTGGCTATCCTCATTTATAGTTGATAAGTCTTTGGACTGGGATGAGCAAGAACTGCAAATGTATGCTAAAGCTTATCTATGCATCTGATCCGTGTGCTACCTGCTGATACAAGTATCCGCCTCTATTTTGGACATTAATTAGCCCACATAAAACAGAAGTCTCCTTCCAACTGGCACAGCCCTACTGGTGACTTTAATTGCTGTAAATTATTATGTTTCTATGCCTCTTTGTTTTGCATGTGAGACGGCCTTGTCACACAAGTTGAAACGTGGTATGGGCTTGGGACTATCTGTTGTGATTGACACACGACATTCACCTTTGCCAAATCATACTGCTGTGGGAAGCATGTATTGTCCTACCTCATGTTGTTGGCATAACACCTTTTATCTAAGCTTTCTGTCTTTGTCTCAGTCCAATCTTCCATCTCAGAAACCAAATTCTTTATTTCATTTAAAGATTACATTATTACCATATTTTTCGCCCCATAGGGCGCACCACCCCATAGGACGCACCTAGTTTTTTTGGGGGGGGGATAAAGAAAAAAAATATTATTCCACCCCCCAGGCACGGGGCTGGCGCGGGGGAAGCCCGAGCTTCCCCCGACCCCAGCCCCAAGAACAGCCTGCTATCCACAAGCCTAGGGAGCCCGGCGGGAAGTCGTGCCAGTCTCCCCAGGCTTGCGGAGAGCTGCGCAAAGCCCGGGCGCGCTCTTCAGCGCGCTCCAGGCTTCGGAATGCAGGCAGCTCTGCGCAGCCCTTGGGAGCCCTGCGCGACTTCGTGCCGGGCTCCCGAGGGCTGTGCAGAGCTGCGCAAAGCCCGGGACCGCAGGCAGCTCTGCGCAGCCCTCAGGAGACCGGCGCAAAGTCGCGCCGGTCTCCTGAGGGTTGTGCAGAGCTTCCTGAAGCCTGGAGAGCGAGAGGGGTCGGTGCGCACCGACCCCTCTCGCTCTCCAGGCTTCAGTGAAAGCCTGCATTCGCCCCATAGGACGTACACACATTTCCCCTTCATTTTTGGAGGGGGAAAAGTGCGTCCTATAGGATGAAAAATACGGTAAGTCTTTCTTTGTCCTAGTCGGATCACACAGTGCAAGCCTCAAGAACAACAAATGAAAGTACCTTTGTTCCATCCCCCCAGATCATCACCAGTATTCTTGATGGCACAAAGTTTGCCTTTCAGTAACTGTCGACTTGTGCCTCTAGCTGCTCTGACAACTTTCGTTTATGCCTATGATTCCAAACCCTTGGATCATGCTGAAATTCTGGAAACCTGCTCTGCTTCTCCCTCTCCCTCTCTTAACATGTAATTATTAGTGTTTCGCTCCTTCCATTTCTGTGCCAATTTCTTAAATCTAACTATCTTTCGGCTCTCACATGGCCCAAGCCTGTGCCTTTTGCAATCAGGCATTCCCCAGGTGTGTCTAATGCCACTTCCTGTTTCCTGCAGCAGTAAGACTTCTCCACCCTATTTCTGTCTCTCTTTGTGCGAGGCAATGCTAGCAGACAAAGGGTAACCATGGCCTGGGGTCCCTCAGGATCAAAGGTCGTCGCATGCGCAGACACCTCGCACCTTCTGGAGAAGCTGGTGCCTCTGTCATCAGTAATTACTGACTTTGGGCAATTCAAGCTGCATTTCACTCTTTAAAACCAGGTCTTCTATCATGGGTTTCCCTATCTCTACCCCATGGTCCTACACAAGTATCCCACACAGGGGTTACATTATGCTGCCACTCTTGGTTAAATGATTGGGAGCAGACCATAGTATGACAATGCTCCTTCTTCATGAATTCTAATGTTCTTCCCTTGTTCGTTGTATAGCATTGTGTCTGCATCAGCGATTATATCTACATGAATGATCTGTAGAAGTTACCCTTCCACAAGTGTCATGCAGTGTCTGTACTGCGCTCATTAGACACCACA